GGGAAAGAGGAGGAGTAGAAACCGTGCTCTAGAAGAAGAAAAAGACAAATAAGAAGAGAGGAAAGTTGCGGAAACCTTTGTGAGGAAGATCGAAGCTCATGCGACACTCTTCCACACCTATGAGGCTCGAACAACTTTTCTTCAAGCAGTCGAGACGCACTGCTCCAGGGCGAACGTGAGCATAGAAGGAAAGGGACATGAAGCCACAAGTCTCGTGAGCTCCAATCAAGGCTTCTGTTGCCCTAACCGTGAGCGAAAGAGAGTGGGGGGAAGCCGAGCAGCTCTTTCCTGTTGTGTGGCAATTTTCGCACTCGCGAAAGAGCTTGAACGGCATGATGGAACAATCTCTGGGTCTGTTTGGGGCAGCTGCAGCTTATCCAGCTTCTGCTGATAAGCAGCTTATCCTGATAATCTGCTGATGAGCAGCTGATCCGGATAAGCTGTCTGGCTGTTTGGTTGGCGCTTATGGAAAACAGCTGATTGTGAAAAATTGACCATTTTGCCCATGTTCCGAATAAGCAGTCGAGGATTTGTTTAAATTTTACTATACTTATTTGAATATTTCATATTTATATTTCTAAACTTTTCAATTCTTTTGAAATCAATTTAATACCAAATTTATCATAAGAAAAACCATAAGATTCTAGACTTACCAGCCAATATATCAATTTGAGACAGAGATCAATAAACTAAGGTATCGTTTTGTAAGCTTCTACTTAAATTATGTTGTGAAGCTATTGTTGAAAAGTTGCTTCATGAAGCAACTTCAAAAGCTTGTTTAAAAACAGAATTTTGCTTAGCTAATTTTATTCAGATAAGATGCACCAGCCTTAGAAAGCTGAAAAAAATGACACAAGAATGTTGTTCGGAACTAGTAAGAGTTGTCAAAGCAGATAAAAATTAATAAAGCATAAGAAGACTAGTTTGGCACAAAAGAAATGGTCAAATATTTCAGAAACAGTTTTGATCAGAATCACATTTACCTTCAGCTCTTGGCAAATATCCAGTATTCTCAGAAGGAAGATTGGGTCTGTGTAAACATCAAGAAATCTCCGTAATACCAGATTAGGATGAGCACGCCAAACATCAATAATGAAGTTTTTTTTTTTTTAATGAAGTTGATTGCTCGAGTTTGAATTTATTTCAAAAACTCGATTATGCAAGTGCGTAGTGATATCAAGGATCATTCAAATCTCAAAATCTTAACGCCAAATAATGGATCCATATTTTTATCTGTTTAATGGTAATACTCTTAAATATTATTGGAGTGATGTTATTCTCACTAAATACTATCTTATAAATTGGTTGTTTACAAACTGCAGTTCAAATTTCCTATTGATGTGCTTTCAAAATGCTTGTTGAACAAGTATCACTCCTAATCTTCCATTTAAAGAATTTGGACGACTGCATTGTTCACAGTCATGCATCTAATAGAAATAAATTTGATTCTAATGCCTTAAAGTGTATCTTTATCATAAATGAAGCAATTCAAGAGGTTCAGTTGTAAATAATGAAGTTACTATGCTGAATTTAAAGATAGGTAAGCCTTTCACAAAACACCAACTTTAAAAGGGAAATAAGATATGTAATATGCATGATCCAAATTAGAGAACTCCAACCTCAAATATTATGGAGCAGGAAAGTGCAAAGATGAAAGAAGTAAAAGAATTTCACATTCCAGGCTTCTAGCAAAAACATAAGAGGAAAAAAAAAAAAACTGCTGCACTGTAGCATCCTATGTTGGAAGAAAAATTAGGTTAGCCATAGGTTAGACAATATAAAGACACAATGCCGTTGCATTCCACTGAAGAAAGAGCTCAATTGGCATAGATTTGTGAAGAACCGGCTTTGACGGTAGCGAGACCAGAAGATCTTGCTTTGACGGTAGCGAGAGTAGAAGATTTCGCTCCCACGGCAGCTAGAGGAGAAGATCCGGCTTCGAGGAGAACGAGAGGGGGAAGATCCGGTTGCGACGGGAGCTAGGGTAGCAGATACGGCTTCGACGACAGCAAAGGAGAAGATCCGGCTTCGAGGGAGCGAGACGACGAGATCCACCTTCGACGGGAGGGAGACGAGGAAGATACGGCTTGGAACAGGGCAAGAGCTCGCGGAGGAGGAAGGAAAAAGAAGAAATGCTAACG